ATATATATATTCATGATTGAAATTTTCTCACTTTGAAAATAAAACCTTTATCGCTTGTCGGACTGCTCCTGTTGTAGGTTGTATATGAAAGCCAGAACTGAGATAAACAGCATAGATAGAGAAGCAATAAAAAGTGCACTGCAGTACTCGAAAGACACATCAGGAGTTGCGTACCACTTTAGATGTATTGCCCTATTAGAAGAATGTTCTTTATTGGACTGATGATAAAACTGACGCACCTGTTAGGAGGGTGGTCCAACAAACCCATGAAATTGTACTATGATCACGTTGGCATGTGACAGTTAATTCTTCTGCTGCACTTTTTTGGACTGTCACTGAGTTTATGGGGCGTTTGACACGAACTGAGTTTGAAAGGCACCCCACCCTGGTACTGCCATCACTGATCATCATCGTTTATTGGTTACGGCAGGTCATTGCTTGTCCGCAGTCCATCTGCTTCAGCAGGTACACTACTCCTTCTCCATCCACAGCCCCGGTACGCATCTGATGGCATGTGATTCTTTCTACTCTCTGGCTTCAAAGTTTGTACGATTTATCTTGTTTTCCAATTAATCAGCGTTGACACTGCTTTAAAGCGAGAATATGCATCCTATAAGCAGTTCTTGCTTGGAATCACTTCGTCACTAGTTTTTGCTCATTACGCAGCCGCTGGTTAACTAAATTTAATAATGTTAACTAGTTCTATTCGGGTGTTAACTCGTACTTTGCTCAGTAAGATTCCATCACATACTCTGGGAAAATCTTACTCCACAGTACATATTCATTGGTCGGGTTATTCTAATGCCGATTAGTCACGCCCTTAAAGATGTGTTGACGAACCAAAAAGACCAATGGAGGATATGTTTTTCGTATTCATCTCGTGCGGCCTGGGCCTGACCGATTATGTATGTATTGATATCGACCTTATATTTCCCGGTGCGAGAAACATTCATACGGGTGATGGGTACTGAACTTTCATGTGTCTGTTAAAACCACTGTTCAGATCAGCACGTTCATTACGAGTTTTACTCCCTCTAAGACTCCTAGTTCTGACTTTATTTCGTAATTGGTACACACTCACTTTGCGTTCACAAATTTACTTCCCATTCAAATCTACCCTGGTTCGTACACACCGGCAATTCAAAGGCCCGTGAAGCAAAGCAGACCGCTTTGGAAGCACAAAAGCAATTGACCTCTCGTCTGCGCATTCAGCTGAAACGAGTGATGGCCAAACTGGAAGGAAAAGACGAACCACCCTCGGCGCCCAGCAGTACCGGTGGGACCGGTGGACATCTGACCGTGGCCGAGCAACGTCGTCTCTTGACCGAGGCCAAGCGCATTCAGCACGAGCTAGAACAGGCTTTGAACTTAGAGAAAAGCCTATCCGGTAAACGGTCCAAACCGAGCTCGGAATCCGATCCAAGTACTGTGGGTAGCACAACTGTCAGTGCTGCTGCATTGCAAGCATTACCCGAACCATTGGCTACAGAAAGACGCAAACAGATTGCTGAGGTAAGTAAATCGCATCAATACACATCACTTTGACTTCTTGTCTGTTCTTGTTTAGTGATCGGTCAAAGAAAAGACGCTAATTACAGATTCATCCCTTGACTGTCGATGTTCCCGGCGGATAGTTGTCATTTTATACATTGTTTATACATTGTAAGACCAATCGTTGAACTTGAACTGGATAGTTTTCTTACTATATGTTAGCCTCACGACCCGTCATGAGCTGCTAACGATTCCTAGCATCAAAAATGTAACTGTGGCCTAACCCAAAAGTTGCATCCCTGTACGATTCATATCCTCTTTCAACTTTCCCAAGATAAAATGAGCCCACTGCCCACAAGTGAAAACCACAGCATATATATATTGTAAAATATTCAATAAAGACGCTTTTTTGCGGTTAGTAGCATCTGACCCACCGACAAGACATCGAATCACAGTGGTAGTTCTTCAATGGTGTTAGGACGGAGCNGTGACGCCCAAATCGAATCAACCCCTAATTGGATGACCAAGGCGAATCAAATAACTGTCTTCCGATCGATCAACCTGGGTGTCAAGGTCACGATCTGATTGGTGCGCCTCATTTAGCACATATATTTGCGTGTTGTTTCATGATCAACAATACACTCTGAATGTCGTTTCTCAGCCGTGTTCTTTCTCAAATTTTTAGGGCCTGGACAAAGAGGCGCACATATCGATCATTCGTCTTGGCATAAGACGTGACAAATGGACTGGTTTAGAAAGAGCTGTTCAAACGAATTTACCCGGTGTTGCAAATGAGTTTTTTGTGACGAAAATTCAATGCATGGGTACAAGATAATGAATGAAAGGACAAAAGACCACCAGATACTCATGTTTGACGAGCGACAAGTACCGCAAAACCGGTCATTTATTTCCTGGGAAATTTTGTCCAGTCATTCATGTAGTACTTATTGTACCATGTATATATATTGTAATCGAACATACCTAAATAATTATGGACTGTAAACTAAGCTTATATGTGCTGAAACCATTCTTTTGTAATTGATCCGCCGTACTCTTGTGGCTTATCCATAGCATTCGGATTAAAGTACTTTTAAAACTAGTCAGAAGTATCTTTCGTTGTCACCTTCAATCTCTATACTTTTTATTTCCTTTTCGATATTCCCCTCGTCAGGTAAAAGTTCAGTTGAAGAAAGTTGAGTCCGAAGTGGCTACCTTGAAGGCAAAAGGAGATCCTATAGTGGAGCAATGTCGACGAATTTTGGAACTTAAACGTCAGGTAAGTGTCGGGCTTAATCAAAATGAATCAGTTCCGAAGTTGCTGATCTCCGGTTTGATTGATATCAGTGTTATTTACTTCCGTGCTGGTTCTCCTCCCATCCCAGACACGATTAAAATGTAACGGATCATATTCTTCTCTCAACTTCAGTTTGGCTTGAAACGTATCAGTACTATTGAATTCGAACAGCTCGTTTCTTTTCGTTACAATGATACCATAAACCAAACCATCCAATTTGGTCTAAGCTAGTAATGTTCACACATGCCCCTCGCTTTAGGCTGGTGCTATAGAAGAGTCATTTAGCTTCCCGGCAGCTCTTATGCAATGTTACAGCGAAAACTACTGCGTAAACTCTGCAACTACGGAGTAAGAGGTTTCTTTCTTGATAGCATCAAGAAAGTTCTTCGACAAAGAACCATGCCTGTTCGTATTTTTCGCTCATTATTTGGACCTACAGCTGCGGCCCTAGGGGTTCCGCAAGAATCTTGTCTTTTTCTTGCATTTTGAATAGACTACTATTCGTGGATGATGCCGAAATCCGGAGACCTATAGCACATCCAGATCGAAGCAACCCATCGACAGTCAGTCACCAATGCATTGCCTTCACCGTTTCAAAATTCAAAGTTATTTCCATGCGGCTTAAAATTCGTTTCTCCTGTGTTCTCAGAAATCAAATATTACTAAAAAAATCACTGATGATAAAGACGTTATGGTACAGAAGGGAGTACGATTTTACGCACGCTGTACAGGAGCATCATTCATGGCTCTAAAGCGATTTGGATTACTTGAGCGTGCTTTCTGGCACGCTTACTAGCTGTATTCAGTCGGTTACACACGGAATAAGCCGATCAAGCATGAAATCCATGGTTGAACCGCGATAATGAGGTTCTCTAATTTCCGCAAAGGTTGGCAACAAAATTGATAAAAAGTTTAAAGGAAAAGCACTCCGAGAGACTCCAAATATTAGGGCTGTTCTCGTCTCAGCACCGTTGACTTCAGAGACATCCCACATACTACTTCATTTAAACCACCCTTGCCGTTCTGTGTTGACTTCATTCTAAAATAATCATCTAAGGAACGATCCGTTTAAGTTGAGGACCCAGAGCAGTCATCCAGGTTGTTGGCAGCATTCTTTTGCAGTCACAGGGTATAAGACTATCTTCCAACCCATGTTGTGTGTGCTCCTACAGTGGAATTATTCCACTCTCAGATTGACAAAGCACTGGAATATTTAGCATTTCAACATCTATGGATGATCGTGCATATTATTATTTCCTATTTGTAAAGGTATCCGAAACATTCTGTAAAAATCCTATGGGGCATGAGCGTTAGCTTTCGTAAATTTCCCATAACTAACCTTTCAAACTTTAAACTTTGTATCTACTGATTAGAACTTGTCACCATAGCCTCAAGTAGTTTGTTGTCCTACCGTAGATTCGTTCAGGGTGCGACTCGGTGAAGGGTGATGAACAAGTTAGTTTTCACTAATTATTAGTCAGGTCAATAAATCACGAGATTCATGTAGAGCCCAATCTCTCTAATGTTACCGTCCCACTCATCCGGTTGGTTCACGACCTGAGCTAAGCTGGCGCTTTTTGTGAGGTCCAACGTGAACTTTGAGATTTGCACATTTTCGATTGTTTGACGGGTTTTCTTTATGCTCTATACCATCGTTCTCTGCTCAACAGTCTTATCGTAATGCATTGGATCGACTCCCGATCACCACATCTAAAGCTGCTCCCTCCTCACTCCTCCTGCCACTGCAACTTTAGTAGCAGAGGTTACTGAAATGCTGCGAGTATCCGTTGGAAGCTTTCAAGCCCAGTGGACCCAGTTTGTTTGCTTAGTACATAGCCTTGTCCTCGTTGGATTGGAGATAGGAATTTCCCGTTTCTCCGAGTCAATCCAGTACCATCGCGTCATCGATTGATAGATTTCCACTGTTGCTACGCCAAAGTTTTGCACTGGCCGTTATTGATATTCTCCTCTGCTTCCGCGATCTCCTGTTCCCCAGGAATGACGCTGCGGATTTGTTTCCGGTTCACTTCCTACTTCTGCGCAAGAACAGGCTAACTCAAATCATTCGTTTGCGTTCATTTGAGCCGCTTTTAGTGCAAGAGTTATCTTATTCTGTTTACTAAGAGACATGCTCGTATGAACCAGGGAGTGCCGTGCCGTGCGCTCAAAAGGAATATAAATAAGGATGACATCACGTGCGAGTGCGTATAGCCAGTGAAACGGTTAACTAGCGTCATATAAACCAACCACGTTTTTTACCATTTGGGTGATAGTGTGGGTGCATATGCAATGCGAACGTAATCCGAGCTCTCTCAGTGCCGCGGAGTGGTCAGCGATGCGCGACAGAATCGTATTGCATTGTAGTCAAGCTTAGCGGGTTATATCCAAGCTTTCAGCCAAAAAGAATTAACCCTCACAATACTGGCCAAAAGGAGAAAAGTGGGACAGCAAACAAGAATACATTAAAAAGCTCAGAACGAACACTCCTTATCGGTGAAGATACGGTGCCAAAGACTTTCTGTTTGCTGATACCCGAGATGGAATGAGTGTGAATTTGGAACGGACGGAGGGATGTGATTTACATGCACACAGGTTAATATGTAAAGGATGGGTGCATTCAGACAGAATACTGTTAGCGACTTTCAAGCACGCATCAATGAGTGACACAGATATTGTCAATCGGAACAGATAGCGAAACTTGGGAAACACGGCTGATCGTTGAGAGGACACGCTTCAGCAGCTTAAAATCGACCTTCAGCACACCGGGGAAAATTACAAGCGAACAATAAAGAGTATAAGAAGAACACCTTATTGAACAAATTTTCTGTCACCGAACAGAAGTGATGTAGTCTCCTGATTTGAAAGTTGAGAACGTTCAGCTTTCGAACAGCAGTTCAGGTTTGTAGAGACCAGTGAAGGTGACTTTCAGGTGGGAAACCCAATTTTCTTCACATAGATGACTCAGCTCATCCGCTTTCTGTGAATGTTTACGTTGTCGGATAGAGATGGGGAACGGTTTGAAGTAATAATACATTCATGGTGTTTTCCGGGATCAAGATTCAAACCGGATGAAGTGGAATACGTAACTAGGTGAGATAAGTTCGTGTTATATGCAGCCACTCCTGATTGGTTAGATATGAAAACAGAAATGTTATCATCAGCATACTCAAAATTTCGTATAGGGTAAGCCACTAACATAAGTCACAAAAGGACTGGGAGATGAGACAGCACCTTGAAGTATACCTACTGAATGATGCCGTTGACTGTCTTCTCAATTTAACATATTGATATCTTTGCGAAAAGTAATTACCAAACTATTCAAGAAGAGAAGTAAGACAATCAAACGGCTAGAGCCTGTTAAGTAAAAAAACGGGACACGGAGTCAAAAGCAGAAGAATAACCAAGGAATGCACGGTGGACATATTTAGCTTTCTTGTTTAGGGACTTGCAGAATGATTTAACTAGAGAAGGAATGGAATTCGGTGCTGAGCGTTTATGTTTGTCAGCAAACTGATATTAACTGTCATCGGAGGTGGCGAGAGGTAACTGATGGCTCTGCAGAACTGACCGCTCCATCAATTTCAACTTGGTTGACTGTGAAGCCCTAGTGGATTCGCTCCGTCGCAGATGAACGTTCCAGGGTTATGGTAACTTATTAGGGTTACTGTGTTCGCATATCTCTGGTAGCGTGACGGTCTACGACGAGGGAAGTAGCGCATTCGAAAGCAACAGTGGTGTTCATTATATATGCAATATTTCGCCGTTCCTACTCAACTTTTTCGTAGAAGAAACGCTGAAGAATGACCTCCAAAATGTGGGAATTGAATGTTCGCCCGGAGGAATACTTTGTGATTTGAAATATGCTGATGTCTTTGACCTAAAAAAATAAAGAACGCACAAAGTACATTTAACAGACGAAAAAGTATACACAGGACTGAAACACCGGCGCCAACGTGACGTTTGCTTGAAACTAAGTTCGCGGATACTCTTCCACTGTGCAATCAGTTCTGCTTTATGCTTGCATGGAAAAATTTCCACATTGCACTCCAGAATCACAGATCTTCTCATCGAGAGAATAAAATGATACGAGTAAAGTATTCAGCCTCAAAGGTTTCAGATAAATGTTGAAGAAACCAGCTGACGATCTGCTAGTATTCTAGAGAGATAGGGAACTCTAGAATTTCTGTATAGGTTAATGTAAGAGGGTAATAAGAGCTATGCAGAATGCGTTGATGAATGAGAGTGGCATTTCGATAGATCGTCAT